GGAACCTCAAGTAGTTTAACAAGAAGGACGAAGTCCTGCACCTGGGAATGAAAAATCCCAAGTATCATTAATTGCTGGGGGTTATCCAGCTGGAAAGCAGCTTTGCAGATGAAGGCATGAGGGCCATCATGGACCTCCTGTTGAACATAACACAAAGAAGACCAATAGCTAACATGAACTACATAAGAAAGAATGCTGACAGCAAGTCATCTCTCCTGCGAGGAAAGGCTGAGCTGGGACTGCTTAGTCTAGAGAAGATTCATGGGGAATTTCATCAGTGTATTCAGTACTCTAAAGGGAATCTCAAGTGGAGCCCAGTAGCAGAACCGAAGGCAACGGGCACGAACTGGAAAACAGGAGACTCTGAACATCAGGACACTTACTGTGAGTATGACTGAGTGCTGGCATAGGCTGCCTAGACAGGTTCTGGAATTTCTCTTATTGGAGATACAAACGCCTGGACATGGTCCTGGACAGCCTGCTCTAGGGGACACTGCTTGAGCAGGATTTGGGCAAAAGAACTTAGCAGAGGTCCCTGCCAACCTCAACCATTTTGTGATCTGTGATAAGATTCTGTGATCTTATGACATCCATCTTTCTCTAATTGTTTCATCACATGAGCACAGAACAATCCCTGTAGCCCAGTAAGGGGCAATAAAAAGAGGCCTTATGAACCTTAGTCCTCCCAGGCAGTTGTTTCCCAAAGAAACTCATTAACTTGCAGACACAGGTGGGAGATGATTATATAGCAGAGAGAGAACCAACTTCTCAGCAGGCAGTGACAGGTTTACATGCGGGGAGATGTCTTCTGTGTGAAGATTCAGAGGGTACAATTGATGATCTAAGATATTTTACCCCCAGCACACCCTCCATAAAAACAAATAATGAATGTCATTCCTGTGGTATCTTAAAACCACAACTCTAAATCTCACGTGACATATTTGGAAGGAAATAATAGAGTTTTTTCAACAGTTGAGTAATTTATGAAATTAATGAAGGAAAAGATACTTCCAAGCCTTTCCATACATTCTGGTCTAGACTAAGTTGAAGCATGAGAAAGAAACACTAAAAATACTATTTTTTGGAATATATTGAACTTGTGAACTCTGGGAATTACTGATAGAGCTATCACACTTGTATATAGCAAAGACATTAATGTGCAGTTCCCTTTAATGTGATGGCCAAGCTATCCACGTTAAAAACAAACCAGTGTTCCAAAACCATAATAAACCAATACCAGCTCCACTGGCTGATAACACAACAGTCCATTTAATTGGTATTCAGAAAACCTGTTTATGTATCATCACTTGCCAAATGACTTGCTTCCAATTTTTTTTTCCCACCACTTTTCCATGGAAAATAGGATCTCCAGCTAATTTTACCCTGCTTGGTGAAAGAAACAGAACAAAAACACTCTCTTCAAACACATCCATTTATTTTGACAGTAATTCAACTCAAACAAAAAACAGATTGAGAGAAAAGAAAAGGTCAGCAGAAGAAAGTAAAACAGATCAAAATCTATCACCATGTCAGTCAAGCACAGGCACGCAGAAACAACCAGCAAACCAACTAACCAGAATCCAAATTCCTTTTGGTGCCTATTTTGAAAGACGATGTGAAAATCCCACAAAAGACACAAACAAAGGATATTGGTGTCTCTGGGAATGGAAATAGTATGTCGTAACTCATAAATGACGTGATGCCATGCTGCCTGCCTCGTGTGAAATGTTTAGGCTCAGCCAGTTTTTGAAGAATTTAGTAACATCCCTACGGCTTTATTCAGTCCTTCCCAATTATATCCAATATGGTCAAATTTTCTTAGTGAAATGTATTTTGGCTTGGTTTGTGGCTGTACTTACACTTCATTCAGGAGAGGTAAAACCTATCATCAGCTACTTGTATCTCAGACCCATGCTCCCAAGTGTGCTGTGACATCTCCTATTCCTTCATGCTGTAGGCACCCAGCTGCTAACATCACCAGGTGCCTCACTGCAGGCATCACTCCAGAAGATCCCCACTATTCTCTCACAGTGATGTCAAACACTACTAGAACACAGGACAAAGCATACCCACACTGTGTCACACTGAACAAGAAGGTAGGCTTAGCTTGTGCTTTTGCTCTATGTGATTTCCATCTAAGCTTTTCTTTTGAATACAGACAGACATGCTTGGGAAAAGAGGGACTAATCTTCTGCTTTGGAATAAGATCTCTCAGGTGTTTGGTAAACGCTGCATTTAAAAGATTATTACATTCAGAAGTTATTTTTTATAGAGATATAATTCTTCAGATTAGTTTTTCTGTATCATTCTGCCTTCCTAACTGGCCTTCATAGGTTTTTGTAACCTTAAGGCTCATCGTGAGATGATTTATTATCTCAGCCACGGACTTCTGAAAACTCTGGGTGTGAAATGTGAAGGATTGTGCTTCCTGCTTTGGAAAGACATAATCCTGGAAACTAGTGATTTGCTTTTGAGCTAACCTATGCAAATAATTTTCCCTGGATCAGGAAGGACTTGAGATTTTGGTCCTGACAGTACCTAGCTCCACCTGGCTTATTATTCCACTATCTCTCTCCTAAAGGTATCCTTTTCCATCTATTGCCAGTCCTTTAGCTTTGGTAGTCTCATTGAGCTATAAGACCTTTGGTTTCTTCTGTGGAAGAGCTAAGCCAGTTTGTCAAGAGCAGAACAAGACAGAGAATTGGTTCCTTCCAAACACATTAGACTGTCTAGACTGTGGTGTTTCTAGGTATAGAATAATAAATGCCTTGGGTTGGAAGAGACCCTAAATATTATCCAGTTCCAACCCCCAGCCATGCGCAGGGCTGCCACCCACCAGCTCAGGCTGTCCAGAGCCCCATTCAACCTGGTCTTGAACTCCTCCAGGGATGGGGCATCCACAGTTTCCCTGGGCAGCTGTGCCAGGGCCTCACCGCCCTCTGACTAAAAGACTTCTCCCTACCACCTAATCTAAATCTCCTTTCTTTTAGCTTAAAATCATTCTCCCTTATCTATCAGACTGTGTAAAATGTTGGTCTCCCTACTGTTTACAAGTTCCTTCCAAGTACAGTGAGGTCTACCTGAAGCCTGCTCTTCTCCAGGCTGAATAAGTCCAACTCCCTCAGGCTTTCTTCATAAAGCAGGTGCTCCAGCCCTCCAATCATTTTTGCAGCCCTCCTCCGGACGCACTGCAACAGCTCCATATCTTTCCTTAGCTGGGGGCCCCATGCCTGGATGCAATATTCCAGACAGGGCTTCACAAAAGCAGAATAGAGGGGGACAATCCAAAGAAGATGAGAACTGAGGCACTTCCCCATATGCGCAACATTAAAGAGCAAAAGATCTCGGTTGAAATTCAATCAGCCAGGAACATATTTCCCAGAAAGGGTAGGAAAGCTGAATGGAGAGGAACTACATCATAGAGCAGAACCACAGTAGTTACATTGAAAGGTAAATACGGCTTCTATTTCTTTAATTGTAATGTCAATTGTGAGTCAGCAGCTCTGAACATTTTTCTCTTTGCAAGGCAGTAGTACTTGAATTTGAGTCAACTGTGTGAGATTCCTATACTGCTCATGTAGATACCACAGCAGACCACACAACACTTTAGAAACTGCCAACAAAACACAATTCATTTCATATTTTTTTTTCTTTTTAATATATTATAGCAGCTTTTTTTCTTGTGATACAACTGGCCTAAATGCCTGAACATCCTAGAATAGTAATGTTTCAAAGATTTACAAATTATTTTCCTGTTTTAGTGAAATCCTTTGCATTTCACTGACGCATGCCTGAAGAGAGCTTAATGAAAATATCAAACTTGTCAAACCTTTGCCAAAGTCAGGATTGCAAACATGTACCAGTGAGACGAACATAAACTGTTTCTTTCTTCCTGATACTACCCTCAGACTCCTCTTGCCATTAGAAGTTCTGTATCCGAAAGCAGTACAGAAGAAGGTTAAAGATGTAAGTCAAAATGCGAGGCGATAAAACAAGGGCATCTCGACATTCTAAATACAACGAGCCATTAGTCATTGATCAAAAGGAGCCTTACCACCACTTGTGGAGAGCAAAGTTCCTTTTGTATCTATAAACTTCTACTAAAATCTATTATATACCTGCCCTGGGTTTGACATAGAGAAAATCTGGAAAATGTAGAATTCTTCCATAAAAAGCACAGATACAAGGGAATGTTCTGCTGGCTCCTGTTGGAGGAGGAGGTAACAGCAGTGCTTCTTCATACACTTTATCTAAGAAGTTGCTGATGTTATTTGACAGAAGACTCCCAATGCTGTCAACTAGAGCTTTAACAAGTAAAAAGCTCAATACTTTTCTCCCAATACTTTTCTCTTGCACACCAGAGTAGCTCTGAACAGAGGCAGCCTGTTCAGATACAAACACCTGCATGAGGTCCTAGACAGCAGAATGCTGTCTGAACCTGACAGCATGCTTATGCTGACTTGGTATACTACCTACCTCTCCTCACACAGAGCTCACTAGATTATGTGCCTTTGTCACCAGTGTTGAAATACAGGTGACAGGAGCACTAAAGTACTTCCTCTCAGCACACTGGTAGAATGACAATTGTGACAACTAGGAAAAAAATTCCTATGAGAAATTTTAAAGGAACAGTATCCCCTTTCCCAGAGTGGTACTGGAACTTTACACTGAATCCAAATGATCGCAAGTGAGAAATCCTGAGTGCAACTCCAAACTTCCTTCAGCCATTACTTGAAAGTGTTTTCTAGCTCCTGTTCACCAATAACACAAAGCAACTGCATCACATTTTTTAATTCTGCCTCTCAGTTTTGCTTTGTTCTATAATCGAGTGGAAATGACCAACAGCTGGAGTAAAAGCAACAGTCACTTCCAGTCTACACTTAACCAAAATATGCAGAACTCATGTATGTTCCTTATTTAGCACCTGTATGCACAGGCAAAACCTCTGATTATTTGGTACTTTATCCCTCTATCCTCCCCTAGAACATCAGATATGAAAAATGATGATGTTGCATGACCTGCTCCGCTACCACAGAGAAACAGGAGGGAAAACAATCTTATCGAGAACCTTTCAGTCCAATGAGGTACTGACTCCACTTCAAATTCCTTCACCTCCAACTGTCTTGCAAGACAGGTAAGAACAAAATTCACACAGAAAAATGATTCCATTAGAAGTATTTGATACCCAATTGCTGTTACTAAAAAGTATTTTCTAAGGGTTGTATTTTTCTGGCATATTCTTTTCTTTCCATTATAGCCTAATGCTACGGTCTGTCAGTTCTGTGGGAAACATGATTATAACTGAAAATATATTATGTTGTGGTTTTAAGGCTCAAATATCTCTTGAAATAATTTTCATGAAGAATAAAAGTGACATGTATATTGTATTTCCAGTTTGGGAAAAAAAAATACATAAGGAGCGTATTTCACAAATGGATCACCAATGTTTATCGTATTCTTCTTTGATCTAGTCCTATTTTGAACTTTTTTTCTAGATTACAGATTGACCTAGAATTACTGAGATAAACTTTAAGATTAACATTTAACGACAGGAAGCCTGCAGTTTGCTTTGGTAGTTATTAACATGTAATAAGAAAGTTTTTGGAACCACTGCATTATTATATTATTTTATGGGCTAGTTAAACTGTTAGCTGGGGGTCAGCATGTGGCAGAATGCCCAGAGCTTTTAAATTTCTGGCAATCTGAATCTTCATGGTGCTCAGTACTAATGCCAAAATTATTCTGGGATCTGCATTTCTATTTTTTTAGATAGGCAACAAATTCAAGGGTTAGATTCAAGTCAGTGTTCTTTGACACGAGATTTTATCTTTGTTGTTAGAATATTTAGTTCTGAGTTTTCATGTAACATACAGAGTTCTGTTTTACTACTGCTGCTGACTTCTACTATTTTTTATGCTCAGAGAAAATTGAATTTCAGGTGCTGTTTAGTTTAGATTACCTCTAGTACAATTCCAGGGACTGAGCACTGCATTATACTCCGGCTACATTCCTGTAGCACATCTTCCAGTTAATTTCATCCAGAATGAACCCACTTCACGTCTCCAAGCCAAGGCACTGCAAAATAGAGACCATCACAAGATTCATGTCAGAAGTGCACTCCTGATGCAAATTAAAAGGCCTGTGCCAATGGATCCTATGTAAGCTCACACAGAATTGAGTCCAATTCTATTGCTCTAAGAAAATACTTTCCACAGATCTGGAAGCTGTTGGCAACACACTTTCAGTTGTGTTGGCTTCATGTGCTGATCAAATCAGTTACTGGCTTTACAGGCTCACAACACTTTATTCATACACTTTGGTTTGAGCTTCATACAACAACAAGAAATTTGAAGGCAAAAATGCAACCTTTCTAAAATAAAAAGGTGCCTGCAAACAGATATTTTGATACCAGAACATTAACTTCTTTCTCTTTCTTCTGCCAGAACAAAAGAGCTAGAAAGCTGTAAGTTGTCTGGCAGCATTCAGAATACATCTAGAATCATGGATTTCAGAAACAGAAAACCTGTATTAAGTCATTGGCTATATTGCTGAGATGCTGAATGAGCAGTACTTTGTTCACAGTATCTTCTATAAAAGTCAATCCATCTGAGGCTCCAATTGATATTTTCTGGGCAGAGACACTGTTTCTCTATGTCCTCAAAATCTTTAATATCACTGGATCAGTATCAACTATAAATATTTCTTTATGAGAATGAGACTTGGAGACATTTTAAGCTTAACAGAGCCTTGTTTGGGCTGAATGAGCATCAGACTCGGGGATCTGTATGCGCAGTGCTTCATCCTACTGCTTACATAAAACGGCTGTTATGCTAATTAGCAACCTAGAGATAGCAGCCAACAGGGATGATTTATTAGTGTTTCCAATGAGAGTGGTTTAATGAATACAAATACCACAGCCATGCAGATGGGACAGCGTCTGCCTGACTACTCTGAGGAAGTGAAAAGGAAGGTTTAGGAACAATGTAAGAAATGGATGCTGAAGTTCCTTCAGAAATTTAAGCTTTCTGATAATCTTCAGAACATCAGCTTTTTATTTTGGTTCACACTACAACACAAATGCATTGTCCCTTGCATAATGGCAGAATCATAGAATCACAGAATCATTAAGGTTGGAAAAGACCGCTAAAGTCATCTAATCCAAACACCAACCCATCCCCACCATGCCCCCTGACCATGTTCCTCAGTGCCACATCTGTACTGCTCTCAAACACCTCCAGGGACAGTGACTCCACCACCTCCTTGGGCAGCCTATTCCAATGCATCACCACTCCTTCTGAGAAGGACTTTTTCCTGATGTCCAACCTGAACCTTCCCTGGCACAAAGGAGCAGCACTGGGTGGCAGCAGCATGGTGCTAACATCCAAGGATGAAACCAAATGACAGGATGGCACTTCTCTGCCAGATTACAGAGAACAAATCACCACACAACAGCAGCAGTGTCCATATCTCATATGTCACCATCTTTCCCCTACAGTTACCTCAGATCTGTTTCAATACACAGGATTCTGCCAGGAAAATGTTGGGATCTAAATGCACTTGGACAAGTTTGTTTGTTTGCTTGTTTTTGTAGCTATTTCTTTTTTCCTTCTTAAAAGTCAAAACTCACAACAAAAGTCAGGATTGTAAAGCTTGTTGAAATACAGCCACATAATAATGCATCGATTTCTCTTTATATTTTAAAACATGCAGACTCGAGGTTATTATTCTACCTTTGAATCAATATAAGACTAGTCACACTTAGGAGAAACACCTGAAAAACAATGTAAGCCTGAATCCAGCCAGTACATGTAGAGTGGTGCTTCTCCCAGGTATAATTTAATCCAAACATTCGCCCCATCTGATTCCAAATTAATGATCAATATTCCCAAGGATTAATAAGATCTCTGCTTCTTTAGCTGATATACCCTGCTCCATCAGAAATTGTACCCATGCACCTTGATCCGTGCCATACTTTGGAGCACATGGTAGAGAAGTTCAAGCTGGTTGGGAGCAAGTTGCAATATCTGTATGGTTCACCACATCCTGATTCACCATGTCCTGTGTTGTGGTAGCAGAGCAGTGGCTACCCCACAGGCAACAAATGTTTCCTGTCTGCAACCGTATCCAAATGCTTCACTCACCCCTCTCTAGGGACTGAGATGTAAGACTCTCAAAAGCACAAACAGCAAGTTCTGAAATCAGTGGGAATTAGATGTTAAAGCTTCCATCTGTGTCCCTGTATATGTTCACTGTCCATATGCCACTCTGTAGTGCTTACTCATGGGACAGTGTAGGAATCTACATGCTGGAAGCTAAGGTTTTGTGAGATGTACATGCTGCATGTATCAGCTTCTTTCTTTCTCTTACTGATCAAAACATAATAGACTTGATTCAACCTTTATTGACAACTGCCAATCGCCACTGTACTTCTAGTGCCAGTTCATCACCCAAAATAAGACTGAGTAACTCAGAACCAAGAAAATAAAGCCACATTTTTACTGTTGGAGCAGCCATCACCATTGCTTCTGTAAAAGGATTATTTTGGGGTGTTCTTTCCTTCAGATATGAAGAGTTCAGGGAATCCCTTCATCACTGCAAGCTTTCTGGGGGAACAGAAAGGGAGCATGGAGAAATTGTTCTGCCTGTATTGCCAAAAGACCACAGATCACCATGCACACTTGTGAGAGGACATCGTCATTTTGGTAGTGATGTATTCCCTTGCCCAAGGTAAGCTCAACAAATACTTTTCACAGTCACAATGTTGAAATAAAGGGATTTTAACAAGAATGGGCACTTAACGGTTTAGAGAGCAATGTAGACTGAAACATATGAGAAAATATGAGAATTCCAGAAAAAAAGCGTTTTAAATTTTCACCTTTTTCACAAAGCCTGAAATATTGATGTGTGAATATACTGGCACCCACATTATCTCTGCAGAGTATTGTGCTGAAAAACTTAGAATTCCACATTTCCATAATTCCTTTGTTTTGTTTTGCCCATCTGTTGATAATGATTTACTCTTGACTGCTGTCCCAGACACCCTTCCTGACATTAAAAGTGTCTAGTGGCCTAATTTACACTAAAGTTCAGCATCCACAAATCCCAGAGGCATAAAAAATGACAAGTAGATGCACAGCTTTTTCAGAAAGTGATCTGTCTTCATTAGACAAGAGCTGAGGGGTTGAGCTCTGGGGTTTGTTTTCTGACTCAAGGTTCCTTCTCAAACTCTTAGCACACTTTGCTCTTTTGGTGCTAAACGATACAGCTTAGACTGAAGGCTGCCATTCACCCATCATGATGCAGTCAGACCCCATTCAGCAGTGTAGCATCCCCTCTTTGCTGCCATGGCCCAGGATCAGACAAGTTCAGGGCCTCTGAGTTCTGAGTTCTGCCTCCTCTGGCCTTGCTCTGTCCAGGCCCTGTCCTTGACTCAAGGGCAGAACAGGAAACCTGATTTTTGCACAGAGGTTTCAGTGGAGATTATAGTAGTACCTATGGGTTGTGGCTTCTGGACTCACTGGACTACTCATTGGCTTCTGGACTTTGGACTTCACCTGGCACATAAAGAGCCTACTAGCTTAGGGCTGACAGAAAATGAAAACACATAGTAGCACTTTCCACACCAAGTCATAAACCCCACTCTTCCCTACCAGATCAGTCCCCAACCCAGTGCTTTCTGCCTACACTTCAGCTTAGACACAGGGCCCTGTTGACACCACACCTACACATACTCACAGTCTCTTTGGTCCCAAATGGAACTTGAGTCTAGCTCTTCCTTTCTCTCTTCCTGACCTCAGCCTTAGCCTTAGCCCAGAAATCTCTGTTGATAAGTCAGATAAGCTAACTATTGCATCTGTCTGGGAAAAAATGTAAACAGGCACTCCAAGGGGCCCAGCCTCAAATGTAGTTCATCACCTTGTCAGCCAAATTCCAATCCCAGCTCTGGCCCCAACCCAGTGTACCTGCTAGCAAATTTAAAATAACCAGCTGGCCTTTACTTGAGTCAGGCCTTCAGCACTACCTGGTAACCCAACTGTCAGTTAGGGTCATTGTCCCTTACGATCTTTAAGCCCACTTGTATCCTAGATAACCCCGTCTAGACCTCTAAAAAGCCTCTAGCTAGAAGGAAGAACAGTTTTTTGATACAATATATGATTCAACGCTTTCACAGCTGAAATTCTGTTTCTCTTTGAGATAGACACACAGTGTATCTTTGCTTCTTCTTCAAGGGGTTCAGAATACATCAGTGTGAAACCAGATCCCACAGCTCCTACTGAGTGTTGGGGTACATGGTCAGGGGCTGTAAGAGCCAAGCTTTCAGAGCTGGAAATACTCAGATTCTCAGGAACTTCAGAGTCAAGCATAGGTGCTCAACACCACTCAAAATCTATGCCTGCAGTACTTCGATTTTGAAACCATCAGAGGATTTCTAAACAGGTAGCATCTATGAGTTTTGATATTCTCTGAGGAATCTAGACAAATCCAGATCAGTTTTTTTTTTTTTTGATATTTAGAAGAATATAGGGAATAAGCATTTTGCATTTACATTTTCTCTTTTCACAGAGGCCTTCCTATTGAGCAGTACTATGATGTCACCATGCTGAAAAAAAGTGATGTGCGTATGAATGATGATCTGTAAGTTTAAACTGTGCTACTCAGCTTGTGAATTTAGTGTACATAACAGCAAACTGAATATTCATTCTACTCTGCTGATATACACATGTGATATGAAATACACATGTAAGACATGAAAACTAAAAGGACACATTCTGTAAAAAGGGACTAGCTTGCAACAAGGAGAGCAGCTGGAACAGAAATTCAGAAGGCAGCATTGGGCCCCTTCTTTTTAGCTCTCTTCAACAAGGGTCTCTGAATTTGTTTTACATGTTGGCCATATTTATCAACCTGTAACACTCAAAAATACCAGCTTTTCTGCTAGCTGGAATTCAGATTAAACTGAATTAACTGCAGTAACCATGACACCGTGTGTATATATAGACACATAGTAGATATGGAGCTGGACTTCTGCAATACAACATTTTGCCACTTGATGGCACCAGCAAAACATATAAATTTGATCAAACAACTGCAATTTTAGATTAAACTAATTTAAAAATTAAATGTAAACTTATCAAAAGCAGATAATGAAAAATGTTACACCTCTCACATTGATGTTAGTAGGTGAGCATAACAGAAACCTGAAAATAATTCTGCAATGATTTTTCTCAGTTATCTTTCCAAGGCTGTGAGGGGTACTGTTTGACCTTGTTTAGCCTCCCTGCACATGAGTGACCTGCTGCCCATTTTGTGTAGACTTAAAACACTCCAGAAAAGCAGGAGAGCTTACTGTGAACAGGCCACAGAGCTACACAAGGAAAGCTGCCACCCTGCCCTTGTAGCTCGCTGCTGTCTGCAAGCTCCTCTTTTTATTGCCCCATTACAGGACAAGAAGAGGTGAACTCGGTTACCACAGGAGTGCACTGCTTTTTATTGGGACAGACTACGGCCTTTTGCCAGCACTGTGCACATTAACTGTATCAGCTGTGCTGCTTTTGCACAATTTGATTACAGCCACAAGGAAGCAGCAAGCTTTCCTGCACACTTCTTCCTACATGTCACCTAGGAACTAAATAGCAAGAACTGGCCAATGCACTTCTGTGACATAATGGAGTATTTGAAAGCTTTTTTTGAAACCAGCCAATCTTGTAGAAAGTTAGCAGAGCTCAGTCCATATACATGCTGTGCACACATCTCAAGTTTGAGATGTACAATTGATGCTGAACCAGGATCACCCACTCTTTAACACCAATCACTTCCACACATTTCTGCTTCTCTTATGTTGCACAGTCAGGCAGTTGATTCGGTTTTATTTCCTGATGTGTCCCCAAGAAAACTCCCATCAACTGCAATGGAATAATACCAGGAAACAATGAGCCAATGATGACCTGCTGGTCTTGCTACGTGACATCTGTATTGGTGTCCCTGAAACAGCAGAAGCACTGGTAGGTTACAGAGAACAATTAAAAATTGTCCTCTGGGTAAGGTGGGAGTGTTTTCAGTATTTCCAAGGCTGGCCAGTCTGAAGCACACGTTGGTAAATGATGCCCAGGGACTCAGGAATTTGTTCACTTCACAGCAAGAGATGTCCTCATGCCAGTTCCTCACCACAGTGGATCATCCCCATATTCAGGCTAAGACAGAGATCATGGCACATTTCTGGGCATTTGCTTCCTTCAGAGAAAGTAATCAGGGACTGCTCTGACTGTACGGCCTCGTGCTGTCTACACAACGAGGAAGGAGCTGGTAAATAAGCATGCATTAGACTCTGCCCCCACGCATACTGAAATGTGCATAACCTTGGATACAACCTTATTTGATCATTAGCACTGATGTACTTTCTCCACTATTTTGAGCCCACATCTTCATCTGAAACATGCCAGATCTCTAAGAATATGTTACAGTTTACACTTTGTCCTAGTTAGAACAGTTTTTTTTCCTTTAAGGTTATATTCTCTCTGTCTTTTAAAGACTTAATACATCCTTTAAAATGAAAAATGAAACATATGCCAAACAATTCTACCATGTTCAAAGTTCAAGGTCTTTCAGAGCAAACAGTCTTTCTACTGTCAGAGACTATTAAGCAGTGACATCCATATGGAATGTTTCCTGAAAAATGCTCACTGAGTGCTGCTCTGCAGGTCTACCTGGGAGCTGTTAATACACAGTTTATTTACCTTATAGCCCTGTGAGGGCTCCTCTGAGCCATTAATGTCTTTTGTGGGAAATGAATTACCAGGCATCTGCAGTAACTCTGTACAATTTCATGAGAGAACTCTGCCTTTGCCTTAAGTTTGCACACTGCAGATCCTTGTACAGTTCTGTATTAGAATGAATCACTTTGTATAGATGCATCTGTTGCGAGTGCATTAGCTCCTGTGTCCTCACAGACAAGTGTAATGGAGAACAGTAGCTGCCTCCTTCCACCTAAAGGTGTTCGGAGTCCTCAAGTTTACATCAAATGCCCGGAAAGGCCTTGAAAAACAGCCTTGAGCCATTGCTAAGAACCTTAGTAACACACACGCACACACACACGGACTGTGGACTGAACATACAGGAACAGATAACACATTAAGGGACAACAACATCTTGCGCAACACCGGGGATTTTGGTCTACTAGAAGTCAAGTGGAAGCCTCTCAGACTCAAGTCTGGAAAAATTACTATAACATTCTTCCTTTCCTGTTGGTGCTCCACCTTTCTATATCACCATTCAGGATGAGTGGTTCCAGACCTGATAATCCAGTTCAAAAATTAAAAATATAAGGAACGCTCTAAAATATTTCCCACCTTTGAATGTGTAAAGCCTTCCTTGATGCTACAACAAAGCTTCTCTACATCACGGTACACATGGAATTGCAGCTATCCTTATTTTATTGTTCTGCTTTATGTTCAGATATTACAATGAAGTGTTCTACAAAGGTATTCAAATATTTGTGCAATGATGAAGCCCACAGCAGATTTATTCTCCTTACACAGTGAATGCAACGAAGAACGTAACAATTCACACAGTAACATAACGTGAATGGAGAATAAAAGCTAACAATTTTCCTCCATGCCTAAAGCACCAAACAATTTTGTTCTAATCGTAGAAATGGAAAACTAATTATTTGTGGAAACCTCTAAGGATTGCTTTACTGTAAGGGTGGCTATTTTTGCAGGCTTTCATGTACCAAGACAGGTCATTATAACAGTATACGAATGGTTTTCAAAATCCAACACTTTGTGAAAGTGCTGCTGTGTGTGCTGATCACACATGAAAAGGAAAGCAGATCTTTCATTCAACTTAGCTGAGGTGTGAGTTATGCTGGTATGGTAATTTCTGAGACATAATACATCATGGTCAGTCCCACAGAATCCCAGATTTTGCAGTGCAGCAGGAATGCTGCACACTGCATCAGAATAACACATGAATAAAACTGATACGGCACTTGGAAGTTTATTTTCACAATAACCATTACAGAGAAGGGAAAAACTGAGCAAGGGTCTGTATTTAACATCTTTAGGCAATAGTGTGTTTCCTCTTTGTTCCTGTGCAACATCTCTTTCTATGGAGATTAGATCAGGGATGAAGCTATCACCTCCTGCTTGGGAATGAGTCCAAGACATCTCCTCACTGAGAAACACGAGGGGGTTTGGCCAATTTTTGAGCTTCAGGTGAACCATTTTTATCTTTTACTAGTTGATCCGTCAGGTAATGTTCTTTCAGACATTTTCCTATGTTTTTGTTATATCAAATAGTACTATTAAGCAATTCAATTATTTTTTTAATCTTAGCCATTTTTCTGGCTTGGTACAATCACCAAAAGACTCCTCGCTAGACTCAGTGATTAAATTCTTGCCCTTAAAATTTAATGTTTTCCTTTAATTAGATTTTTAAAAATTATTTGAAGCATAAAATAAAGTCTCCAAGGTAAAATATAAGTAGTTTATCAGTATGGAATTAATAAGTGCCTTCCCTGCAAATATAAAAGGATAAGTTTTCTGATTTGCATTACCGATTTGGTTTTACTGATACTGCTTTCGGTCGTTAATTAATAAAGGATTGATTATGCAGGAGTGTAAATACATTACGCAGGTTTTTTTCCTCACTTCTTTTAAAAAGACATTTTTCAAACCACTTGTTCCAGGCACCATTTCTAACTCCCAGCAATACCAGGCATTTATCATGGAATAAGTGATATCAGTAAGAATATTGTATGCACTGCTTACACATAGTTCTGTCTTTAATATATATTGTTTGCACAGATCCAGATCAAATGTGGAAGGTGCAAATGAACATGAGTCATTTCAACTAACTCATTATTTTTCTTTTTTTACACAGACTTTGTAAGCCACCGAGCAGTTTGGCTAAGTAAGTATATTTCAGCTATTCTGTACCTTGTCTCTTCCTTAATGAAATAAAAAGGCCTTTCTGCCATAATCGTGCAGTGAAAGTCCCTTGGCAGGAAAGCTACTCAACAACAAGCTCTCTTTCAAATGAAGCATTTAGCGATGCGTTCAGCAGGTTAGCTGTGTTTGCCAGGCACACCCACTCTCCTAACAATACCTATCTTGCTGACTAGCCTATGGTCTAATTGGGTTTTCTTGGCTGTGCTGTTCATGGCCTTTTTACCTGATGTGATGTGAAGAGTTTGAGAGCATCTACCAAGAACATTTAAAGGTCTAAGGTATGTATAAAGTGAATTCATGAGAGAGAAGCCTACGAAGAGCTCAACTTTATAAGACAATTTGTTACTTCATGATACATAGTCTGGGCAATGAATTTTGCTCCCATCTGAGATCAGGTCTTTGCTTTCAGCAGCAACTGGGAGATGGCATTTGCTCTCAGTGAGCTGCTGCATGCAGTTGTGGTAGAGCTTAGAAGAATCCAAATGGGGTGCTAGTCTCTCCTACTGGAATAAAGTACAGCTTTCATTTTCCTCAGAAGATTCCTGTTATTTCAGGATTTAAAATACTTTTTGACTAGTCTATCATGAAAAACTGAAAGCTGAAAAGAACAGCCACAGCAGCATGGGAACTCTGTGAAGTCTTGATTCTCAGAATCCCATAAAACTCTCCAGCTCAGCTTCATCTTTCTTACTACCATAAATAAGTGCCTGCTTATATATGAATTTTGACTTCATACACACAAACTCAGTTACTATTAATTTCAATTTCAGCTCTGTGAGAATCAGAAGTTCACATTCCCTTCCCTTAAGCCACATAAAAGTAAATATGACTTGGTATGACTGATTATAAACAAAAGCTGTGGTTCTTTTCTTGCTAAGGAAAGATATAGGCAATAGAAAAGATACTTCTCATTTCTACTTTCTTCAAGCGACTAATGGGAATGTTCTTCGTGCAACACTATATTAAAAGCAAGATTTGCAAGAACCACTGTTTGTATTTGATTTTTTAATGCTAATAAATAGTTGGCTACCAGAGCCACAGAGCTTAGCTGCAGATCTAGCAATGGAACAAAGTGTCCCGGTTTTACATCAATAGCAACCAGGATACCTGGTCCATTAATAACAAGAAATCCTTCTGTAAATATTAATTCATGTCAGTCCCTCTCGTCTTCTTCAGGACAGATATCTTCCAGTATCAAAGCACTAGCACTGGAGCTCTTTTTCACTGAGCCCCAGGTTTACTTAGAGTAATTACACATGAAGGGCTGAATAAAACCCCAAGCACAGAGAACAGAGTTACTGCCACAGGAAACCACACCCACAGTTACTCATGTCTAGAGGTACTATAGTCTCCTGTACAGCATGGAAGTGTAAAGAATTGAATTCACTGAGTTTTGTCCTCTCTTTCTTCTGCTTTGTATCTTGGCCTCTTTTACAGCTCTGTGTGAACGAGTGGCATGAACGTTTGCTTTAGATGCAATTGCATCTGAAATCCTTCCCTGTTCCCTTCTAAGGTCAAAATTTCTCAGTCGAGGTTGCACCTGTGAATGGCAGATGAGATTGCTTCTGTTGTGTTGGGTGTTCTTCACTTGTTACCCCCCCACTTCTCTTCACACTGCTCCTCTGGAAAACCTTGCTTTACTTAACCCTTTCACCTTTTGGAGCCTGCAGGAAATCCTTTTATTCCCACAAGTTCTTCAGTCATTTAAAATTTTCCTAGTGGGCACCTGTCTCTGCAGAGCAGTCCTGCCCTGCATCCCATTGAGACCAAAGTAAATTCCCAAATTTTATGATATTCAATATTGTTTGTGATAGACTCACGAGAATTGTTATGTCTGAGAAATTTATTTGTAGATAACTGTAGCTAATAAGAAGGCTATGGTGAAAGAAGCAAATATTTTTATTTGCATTTGGGGTTTGACAGAGGTATCCCAGTTGACTGGGTTCCATCTTTAAGCATCAGAAAGAAACTGCTGAAAACAGTAGATACTACACTTCAGCATTGGACAACTGTGCTTTGGGCTGAGGAGTGATGGTAGTCCATGTACCCAGTTCTGCAAGTTGCAAAAACAGATTGAATGGCTCTCTTCTATAACAGCAGACAACATAGGAGCAAGGCAAGGGAATGATCGCTGTGAAATCATTATAGGGTACAAGCAAGGGGGGATTAGAGAACAAAGACGTCACCTCTGCTTTTTTACTTCTCTCCTAGTTCTTGCAAGCTGCTATATTTCATGCTAAAACTCTGTGAAATGTGAAATAAGAATTCTTTCTTTCTGTTCTTCTCCTGCCAACTGAAACCAATTCAAGACCGCTGAGCCTGCCGTTTCCCACCTCTCATCCCTACCAGACACACATCTCTAGGTATGCCATGTTCCCGGACTTCAGATCACCTGAGGATCGAGACACTGGAACTGATGCAAGCTGTTGCCAGCCTTTTCATTCTGATATCTCCTGCGAGGCTTTTGATGTGGTTGTTCTACGGAGTACCAGAGGTAAGACGGTTTTGTGTTGGTTGATCACATATTCAATAATCTTATTTAGAACTCTGCTTAAGTCTCATGACTCTTTTCTAATGAAGCTTAATGGAGCCAGGATCTGAGAACACAGGTGGTCAAGTTGAGCTTCTTGTGTGCTGATGCAGTCTCAGCTGGGGAATACGTCAGCTCTGAGAGTGATGAGTTAACCTCTGTTTCATGTAAAGACTTTGTAGCCTCAGAAGCTAACAGAACCATTAAAATTAATGTTAATCTCCGTGAAAGCAAGACGTATCATCCAGCATATCTGATGGCTTTTGGTAGGTAAATAGTTCTTCACGGTCTGAGGGAACAGCAGATGGAAACAGATGGAAAAAATCTATCAGAGGGTTCAAAAACTAGCAATTTCTGGGCAAAAGCCATGCCTGTGCCATATCTTGGCTGAGGACAATAAAACATACTAAATGATTAAAATCTTTTATCGCTACAGAAATGATACAATGAAGACTAGAATGCCAAAGTAACTTATTTTTTAAGGAACACAGTGTAAGCCATCATGATGCGCCAGCATTTTGTCCAGAAAATGGTTTAAATAATACATTGGATGAAAAGGGAAAGATAACCTTGCTCTTGTTCTGCTGGGTTTTGTTTTGTTTTGTTTTTTTGTTTTTCTGGGAGCAGCCTACTACATCAGGACTTTGACAGGTACTTTCTTTCGGATGACTTCCCAGACTACTTGAATGAACCAATCAGCAATACTTGACAGCTGCTGACCACACAGACTCAGGGGAAAGATGGGACAGAAGAAAGCCACCACCTCTCTGTTCTATGGCTCTTCGGAATGGTTTTGGCAATAGCTGTGTGAAACAGAAGCAGCACACACTGGCATGGATAAGAAGCTTTTCTATACAGTAAAGGCTGATAATGTTAAGTAACAGGTCAATTTGCATTAATTAGTTGCCATTCCCAGTCACTGAACTGTACACTGAACTGAACCGGGAACTGCAATTCCCAGAACTGTACACTTACATATATTACTGTGTATACCTTTTTTTGGGGGGGTGGGGGGAGAGAGGGGCAGAGCCATGCTTATTTATCCAAATCAAAAATTTTTCCATAGAATATTAATGCCAGGAGTGGCTTTTATTAGTCACTTTTCACTGATCATTGTTCAGTTTTAGAAATGCTAATTGCACATGTGGAGGTGGACTTAACAAAGTCTATTTTTGCACAACAGGAGGATCATTGGAGGCCAAGATCTATTTCCAGAAAAGCTAAGTAGGTTCAGAATTACTAGCTAAGGGAACAGGTACTGCTGGCACCTAAGAAACACTTTAATTTCATTTGCTGTTCCCCCCATTTGATATGACTTTCTCTTACATCAGAATGCAAGTGAGAGTTTGATAACTTCCAGAAAGACAGCTGATTAAATACATGAGCTGATCTAACCCTGCTACAGAAAAGTGAAGATGAGTTCTGTCTACAAATCCGTGAGGTCTCTCTATCTAGGTAGAAAAGACATTAGAGGTGGCTCCAGAAAAAACATCTGCAATCAGCACAACTGTCTACAGTGTGAGCAAACATCTACAGATTAAAATGCAGATCCATCTGTCATTCTGACCAATGGTGTTACTATTGCAGGTAACCCATACAGGCATGAAGTTGTCAGCATTCCCTTTGATTCCTTGAAGGAGGCTTTGTGCTGTAGAAGACAGCACGCATGCTTGCAAGTATGTCATTCATAGAGCAAAGAGAAGAATGTCTTTTTTTTTTTCCCTTTTAAATCAAATTGTCATATATCCTTCAGGGAGGAAAAAATGTTACATAGGGAGATACTGTACTGTTCCAAATACTTTCAGGTCATTAATTGAGCATCACAATGAGGAAGAGCGCAAGGCTTTCACCCACCTCAGCAACATATAAAGATCAGCAGCTAGCTGGTTGTCTTGTGACTGAAGTCCTTCAAGTGTTGACTAATTCTCATAGGTTCTAGCTTTACAGAGCTTTGGAGTTAAGTTACAGCTTTGGAGATAAGAACAAGATCTAATAGTAGCTGATGATGATGCATTCAGGGTTGCAGGAGGTGGGGGGAGCCTTTGGATCAGAGAATAAGATTACACTTTGCAGTCCATAAGAGAAATAGGTCTGAGCAGTAGTTTTTGTTCCTCCATACCTTTACAAAAGTCCTGTAATGCTGACAGGGTGTTATACAGACTCTATTTTCATATCCTGAAGGAAATAGACATCTTTTTTTGAATGGACTCCAACCTTGTTTTTCTCAGCTATAATGATGGGGACTATCCTGATCCGTGAAACAGAAGAGTGAAATTCTTTGTGAATGATTGTGATTCTACTATTCTTCAGCCCGGTTAAACAAGTGGTTCTCTTCCTAGAGGGATGTAGCCTGAAGTTTGTTGACAGATAAAAGTCATGAAGAATGTAGGAAAAGGTAGTGGTAAACAACGAAAGCTGTAGACAAGGTCTTTGTAGACACAGTCTTAGGGATGCAAAAGGGGAAATTCAAAGTGGCAGTCCATTTTCAGGCAGGCTGTTATTGTGACTACAAAATAAAGCTCATAGAGCTTGCAATGTTCTGCCTTCGTGTGAGTTGAAGAGAAGTTGATTCCAAGTTCTTTGAACAGAATTCAGCTGAGTCATGTGTCTGTTAAATGTTCCCACTTCAGTCATAATACTGGAAAAAAGATTTGCTTTAGAATTTCTAAACAGATTATGTTGGGGCAGGTGGGATGTTTTAAAGCTTTAAAACATTTTATCCACACTTTCGGCATATACCTTACCTATTTCTTCTTATCCTTTAGCTTCCTAAATTCTCTGAAGAAAAGTATCAAATACACTATCCAAATCCATCAAAAATTGTGGCCCCTAATTCCACTTTCAGAGAGTTAGAACATAAGGTCTCTTCAAGAACAACCAATATACTACAAAACATTGAAAGAGCTCAGTGGATCACAACATACAATCGAAACTTCACAGGTAAGCATTTTGTTGTTGTTGCTAATTTACTTGGGATAGCAATTAAAGGCCACAAGATGTTATCCCCTAGTTCTCTCAAAGATACTCACTTTCTGTAATTTAGCAACCAAGGTCACATAAACTGTAAATGATCTGATGTTTTTCAGAGAGACTGAGCACTAATTCTCATTTTCCTAACTAATAAAAAATGCATGACAGTAAAATATGTCTCCATTAAGGAAGAGGTCCTATGAATCCCCTTATCCTGGATGACTACTACATGAAAGCAGTTGGCAGATTAACTGGAGAACTCGGTACAGATGTGGAACTTGTAAGTACAGCATTTACTAAGAATCAGATGCTTTCCCCACTATTAATATTGACAAGAGTATTACCAGATCCAACTGTAAGAACAAAGCGTTCCCTTTCACACCACTTAAATGCAGGGCAAGACTCATTCTAAAAGAAAGGCAAAAGTTCAGTATACAAAATCCTTCCTGACATAGCTGCTTGTTAGAACATTTGTGACAGGTTAGTGACTTGTTCAGGGCTTGGGGTGCTGGTGTCGGGTTATTGTGATCATCTGCTTATTTTTTATCTTATCATATAAAGTTGCTACCAACTCAAAAGGCTTTTTGCTTGGGAAATACAAGTAACAGTCTACATAAAAGGAGTTGGCAGCTCTCTAAATGGTGCGGTCTTGCAAAAACTGAAATACACTTGCTAGACATTAAGCTGGTGTTAATCAGCACAGCTGCACTGAACTCATCAGCTTAATGACTTTATTGCCCATTGCTTTATTTGGTAAGTGACCTACTACTATTGCAGACTGTTGTGTCCTTGCTAATTATACCAGTTTAAGTCTGGAAGAGTTTCTGTGATTCATCCTCCTTCATTTATATGAGTGGTTTGCCCTTCTTCCCTAATGGTGCATCCGTAATATTACCAAATTGCATTTTAATGCAAATACTTACTTTAAAGAATATACAAGCTCAACTGGAAAACTCTATCCTTATTACCTTCAACAGTGTTTGTATTTAGTGTGACCTGTAGGAAAGTAAAAAGACACTGCAAACAAAGCATGATATGCTTTATATATAAATCAAGTTGAGCTGCTTCTTGCTAACGCATCCTTACCTGTAATGGCTTAAGCCCTGTCAGTGACACCTGCACACTGTCATGCCCAGTACATACACAGGTGTAATTGATTGGAACTGACTAAGCAAGTCTGCAGGTAGAACAGGTTCCTGCTCATACTTTCACAGTATTGCTGGTTTTACAGCACTTGCAGTTTCAGACTTCTCTGCCTGTAATGCCTGCAGATATGACTGCACAGTTACACAAGAAGTAAAGAAGTCAAATGCAGTCTTTTTTTTTTTTTTTTTTTTTTACTTCTAGTCCAAAAATGGTCCCAGGTAGAAAGACCCCAAACTGTCATGCTTTTTACTACTGGATTTTCTATTTATTTATTTCCTTTTTTTTAATCCAAGAAATGAAATCTCCTTCAAAAGGGTATTTACCAGTTGTTGATAACTGAATCACTGCATCTGAAATGGAAACACTGTCTGGCTTTTTCTCTAACATGATGAAGAAACAAATGTTTTGCTTTGTGACTGTGAACACTTCAAAGAACCATTTCAATAGCTTATCTCTGGAAATGAAAATCCAAAGTCGCAGCTTACATCAATTCAAAACAGAGCAGTTTTATTGCCCTCTATCTTCCAAAGTGTGATTGGTAGAAACCTACCTTGTGCCATGCTGATTTATCTAAAAAACATCATCCTATTTCAAAGATGCATACACTAAATATCAAACACTCAGAATGTTCAGCATGGAAACTGCTGATGTCCACTCCCTGGGAACATGACACAAAGGTGTTTTGTTATACAGTGTGGCTTTGAGTTCGTTACTGTCTGAAGCTTCAACACAATAAATGATGAATACACGGCAACAGTATTCAAGCAGTGGGTCAAACTGTGGTTGAGAGAGCTAAAAAGCTGCCTGCCAGCCAACAATCCTCAGTCCCACTACCAACACTTCCCCCAGAAAGTTAAAAATGTGCTACAGCAAGTCACTGTTCATGTTACGGAACTACTTACAAAACCAAAAATTGGAAGACAATTGCTTATAGAGAAACAGAGATGAAGGCACAAGACCTTTATAACCCTTTGTTAAAGGGGTTAAGGGGTGTTAAAGCAGAATATTTTGTCTTTTCCAAAGCAAAAAGACCAACTCCAACCCACCTAAGCAGCAGGGCCGTTACAAATGCTTGGGCTGCTTCCCTTTGCCAGCATGTGTTTTGCATACTGTCAGAGTGAAGAAGTGGCCAAGAGCGCTGTGGCACTCACAACAGGCATGTTACAGCAAGCCCCCATGTTACAGGCATCACGCTTCCCTCATGTCCCACAGTGTGGGGCGGGAAAGACAGACTCAAATAATTTTGCTAGTCACAGACAGCAGTTACACCAATTGCTGCTAAAATGCTCAGATTACAGTGTTAATTATGTTCCTTCTTCCCTTAGAAAGAAACATTCATGTCTAGTCCCTCACAAGTGAGGCCGCTTGGAGGGCGCACGGCGCGTTTACTGCAAGGCCGACATCCCTGTGAATCTGTTCTGCAGGAACAGCACTGCTGCCACGAGCGGGCCAAACCACCTCAGGTATCCCACCAGAAAAACCACTATCTGGATGCAGGGCTGCCAATAAGCAGATTTCAGAAAATCGTTAATAGAAAGCAAGTGGAAGCACTGTACCAGGGGCAGTTTTCAGGAAGGCCGGAACTTCAGTCCCTTCCAGAGTCTGCGCGTTCTCTTTCCTGTGAAGATTTAAAGCCCAAACATTTGGACCAACATACAATATGGGCAAACCCACTTAGTAAGACAGTCTTGCCGCAGGATGGAAACAGGGAGGAAAGCAAAATTGTATTGCACAAGCTCTGGAACCAAGAAGCAAGTGAGCCTGCGTGGAGACCAGAGGACAGACTAGGAGAGGTGGCACTGCCAGAGTGGGTCCCTGGCTCTGAGGTTGCTCGGCGCCAAACAGTGCTGCTGGAGCTGCAGCATTCCTTCTCAAAGACAGCAGCACAAAAATGTTTTCATGACTCTATCAACGGAGAGACAAAAGACCTCAGAGATAACATTAATAAGGGAAGGAGACATGAATTCTATGGTTTCAATGCTTTTTATTTCCATAACTGACACATTCATTGGTATTTTAAAAATAGTAACAAATAAAGAAGCACTTCAATACAACCTGCCTATTCTTTTGTGCTGCTTGTGGCAAAGATGGAGTTTATTTTCTTCATAGTGCCTTGTATGGTGCTATGCTTTGGATTTGTGATGAGAATGGTGTTGACAACGAGTCAGTGTTTTAGCTGTTTCTGTGTAGTGCTTAGACGGAATCAAGGACATTTCTGCAAGTGAGCAAGCTGGCAGTGTGCAAGTTGATGGGAGGGGACACGGCCAGCACAGCTACCCCTAATGGACCAAGGGAATATTCCACACCATGTGTCATCATGTTCAGCAATAACAGCTTGGGGGAAAAGGAGGAAAGGGGTACATTCAGACTTGTGCTGTGTCTTCCCAAGAAACCACTATATGTGATGAAGTTCTGCTCTCATGGAAATGGCTGAACATCTGCCTATTGGTGGAAAATAGTGAATTAATTTTGCTTTGCTTGCTTGTGCAGCTTTTGTTTGACCTATTAAATAGTATTTGTCTCAACCCATGAGTTTTTTCACTATTGCCTTTCTGAAAGTAAATGAGCAGCTGTGTTGCTTGGCTGTCTACCAGGGTTAAATCACAACACTTCATTTTGGTGCCCAGAATAAGGGTCAAAGGGTTCAAGATAATGACAGATTGCAGTACGCTAGACTAAATGTATAGCTCTTATAGCTATTTATCTGCTAATTGGCAGGCTCCTGTGCTGGACACAGGGCCTGCTTACCAGAAGGAATCAGATTATCAGACAACGCCCAAGGATATTTTATTCTTCTTTTAACTGTAGCTTTCCAGTAAACTGTATCAGACTCCACAACAGCATGAGACTAAGATTAAACTTTCAGTCCTTTGTACACCTGAAACTTCTCATAGCAGGATAGCCTTTCTCTCTCCCTTAGTGCCTCACAGCTGTATCAACAGCTCTACAATATTCACAAAATAGGAAGAGTAGATACAAAAAGAGATTTAAGCTCTGCTTTATCTGCTGAGATCAAATCCTTCAATAGCTACTTTGCACCCTTGGGTACATAAAATACTTTTACATACATACCCAAACGTTATCTTCATAGCTTAGGTATATGATAATACAGCAACAATTCTTTTTAATATCTTTACTCTTTAATATCTTCATCAGTGACAATGACAGTGGGGTTGAGTGCATCCTCGGCAAGTTTGCAGATGACACCAAACTGTGAGGTGTGGCTGACACATCAGAGGGACAGGATGCCATCCAGAGAGACCTAGACAGGCTCGAGCAGTGGGCCCAGGTGAACCTCATGATGTTCAACAAACCCAACTGCAAGGTCTTGTACCTGGGCCAAGGCAACTCCCACTACCAATACCAATACAAGCTAAGTGATGAAAGGATTGAGTGCAGCCCTACCGAAAAAAGACCTGAGGGTAATGGTGGATGGCATCTGGACATGAGCCAGCAATGTGACTTTGCAGCCCAGATGGCCAACTGGGCTGCATCAAATGGGCATGGCCAGCAGGGTGAGAGAGGAGATCATATCTGTCTGCTCTGTGCTGGTGAGACCTCACCTGGAGTACTGTGTTCAGACCTGGAGCTCTTAGTACAAGAGAAACATAGATCTGTTGGAGCATGTCCAGACAAGGGCCACAAAACCGATCCAAGGGATGGAACACCTCCCCTATGAGGACAGGCTGAAAAAGCTGGGGCTGTTCAGCCTTCAGAAGAGAAGGCTCCAAGATGACATGATAGTGGCCTTTCAGTATCTGAAGAGGAGCTACAGGAAAGAAGGGGACAGACTCTTCAGCAGCGTTTGTAGTGATAAAACAAGGGGAAATGGTTTCAAGCTTAAAAAGGGGAGATTAAAGTTAGATATAAGGAAAAAAGTCTTCTATACTGAGGGTAGTGAGGCACTGGCACAAGGTGCCCAGAGAGGTGGTGGATGCCCCATCCCTGGAGAGTTTTAAGACAAGGCTGGATCAGGACCTGAGCAACCTGATCTAGCTGTGGTGTCCCTGCTCACTGTGAGGGACCAAAATGGCCTTTAAAGGTCCTTTCCAACCCTAAGGATTGATGATTCTACAATCCTTTTTATCTTGACAAAAGCTTTTATCTTTTCAATAATGGAAAAATATACATTGAGTGCAATCCAGATATTCGTTTTAATAACACATTTTTATTTGAAAAAGGATATTTTTTCAAGACAACACAAGATATATATCACAAAACTGAGAAATAAATCATGATCTCCTGAATTCCAGCCTAGTCCCAAGAAGGTGATCTTTCCTCTTTCATCTGCAGTGTACCTCTGAAGAGAACTGGTTGGATGTTTTATGTTTCCTCTAAGCTGTACTTTGGTATATATTTGTTTTATTCTCCCTTCTTTCAGAACAAAATTACATTGCAATAAGCATAAATAAGCTGCAAAATAATCATTCCAGTTTGAAATAAGCAGATGTGAGTGAGGGAGAGATTACTTTTCAGTGCCTTACTCTGGAGGAGGTACAACAGCTTACAGAGGGCTGGGAAGCATTATACTCTGCAGTCGCACCTTGTGCTGCCTCCATTTGTAGCTTAATCTTATTTAGTGGCATCGCATACAAATTTTTTAGAAGTTATTTTCCTCACAAGACAGGTAATTGGTAGATATATTCATAAGGAACTGCAGGTTGTTTATTCTTCAGAATATAAGGATAAAAGTTGTCTCTGTAGCAGCCTAAATGACTCCTCATTAGCATACAGACTCAAGTCCACCGGAACAGGCTGCCCAGGGAGGTGGTGGAGTCTCCTTCTCTGGAGATGTTCAAGACCTGCCTGGATGCCAACCTGTGCGACCTGCTGTAGGGAACCTGCTTTGGCAGGGGGGTTGGACTCGATGATCTCTGAAGGTCCCTTCCAACCCCTACAATTCTGTGATTCTGTGTGATTCTGTGTGAGTTAATAAAAAGATGAAGTTGTTTAAGGTACAACCACTGTGAATAACTGAAAGCTTAAAACACAGTTGTTCCAGGCAAACCATGAAAGTAAATATCCCAACTAATTTTATTACATCTAGAAAAATAACAGTGCACTGAAAATGTGTTGAGTAATTTCATTTTACTTCTGCAATGCAAACACATAAAGACACAAAAGCCCTGACTTTGCCTTCTGCACAGCCTCCAGAAATTCCACCTATTCTGTGCTATTGAGGAAGTCATAAGACTTATGCAGGATCCATGCAAATTATACACTACAAATCCTGTCTAGCACAGAAGGGTAACATTTCATTACTAATTTGTCCTACTGCAGAATGTTTCCAAAAACAAAACACTGGGCACCTTGAACCACCACCCCCTTCTTGCACCTTCCGCTGCATAGCACACTAGTTCTTCCCACTGTCACACACGCTCACACTCAGTTAAAGTAAAGTAGGCGTAAACAAATCAGGTTCTCCCCCTCTGACATGCCAGTCCTTACTAGTGAAAATACATCTACTTTGCCCCGGTACTCAGCTCTGGTGAGGCTACACCTCAAGTACTATGTTCAGTTTTTGGCCCCTCACTACAAGCAAGACATCGAGGCCCTGGAGTGTGTCCAGAGAAGGGCAGTGAAATTGGTGAGGAGTCTGGAGCACAAGCCTTATGAGGAGTGGCTGAGGGAGCTGGGATTGCTTAGTCTGGAGAAGAGGAGGCTCAGGCTCAGGGGAGACCTTATTGCACTCTACAACTACCTGAAGGGAGGTTGCTATGAGGAGAGGTTTAGCCAGGACCTGAGGAAATGGCCACAAGTTTGCCAGGGGAGATTTAGATTAGACATAAGGAAAACCTTCTTCTCTCAGAGAGTGGCCAGGCACTGGAATGGCCTGCCCAGGGAGGTGATGGAGTTGCTGTCCCTGGCAGTGTTCAAGAGGCATCTGGATGAGGAGCTACAAGATATGGTTTAGTAGCTTGTGGCAGTAATGGTGACGAGAGGACGGAGGCTGGATTAAGATGATCCTGTGGGTCCTTTCCAACCTTGCAACTCTGTGATTCTACTGAACTACTATATTTTTATGCCCAGAGAGGTGGTGGGTGCCCTATCCCTGGAGACATTCATGGTCAGGTAGGACAGGGCTTTGAGCACCTGATCTAGCTGCAGATGTCCCTGTTCACTGCCCTCGAGCTGGTCTGGATGGCCTTTAAGAGTCCCTTTCAGCTCAGATGGGTCTATGACTCCCTCAGAAAAGGAATGAACGTTGCTACAGTGTCCTTCCACCTGGATCAGAAGCGGTAACTGTGAGGCTCAAGAAGGCTCAAGACACAATGCTTAGTACAGAGTATACACATTTAGACACCAAAACCCAATCAAAATGGTGAATCACACATCCTTCAAGTCTGCCTGCAGTGAAGAACAGACCTTTTGAGTGGATGTCAGCAGGCACCAGTGCTCACCAAGTCCTCCAAGCAGCCTGCATCAGCCCTCATTGAGTGCTTAAAGAAGCTTAAGAGTTTACACTCCTGTCAGTTCTTAAGGCAGCTTAAAAGGCACCTCCTGCTCTGTGATGGAAGGCTTACCATGAGCCTCAGGATCCCTTTACATACATCCAATGCCAAGAAGCATTGCAGACACACAGGCCTTATTAAAAAAAACAACCAAACACCAAACTAAACACAATGTCTTTAGTTTTTAATCTTCCAGTCATAGTTCTGGGAGTCTTGATTTGAGATTGGAATTCAGCAACGGCAGAAGTCAAGGTGACCCTTTCAGTCAGCTCCCTTGGACCTCACTGACATACATTTAACAACACATCACAAGCAAATAGCTTTATTTTAGTAACTTTACAGTTGGCGACGGCGTTAATCGTTAACGCTTCACAGCAGGCAGATACTGCACGTCCACCACGTGAGGAAATACCTTAGCATCACTTTCACCAACTGTGAAGCTTCCTCCACCCTTTACTCCCTTCGGGAACCGCACAGAACTCGCCCAAAACAGTGCGGCGTCCTCACGGAAGCCCAAGTCTCCCCCCACATTCCCCGCTTCCCGCTCTCTCCCCCCACCCGAAAGCCGCCGAGAGGGGGCTGACGTCACGGTCACGGTAACGGCCCAGGTCCCACCCACGGCCACGCCACCACCAGCTGAGGTCAGAGCGTCAACGGAGAGCCGCGCGACACTTGCCTCACCTTCCGTTTTGCGCATGCGTTGCAGGCGTCCCGCGCTTCACGTCTGCCTTTACGTAGAGGAATTCCGCTAGTCGTTTTCCGCCGGAAGTAGTAGGAGAGGGAGCTCGGGGCTCGCGGTCGCAACCTACCCCGCTACTCGCAAGCGTCGTGACGTCATCCCTGAAGGACAGGTGCTGTAACCAATCAGAAGTCCAGCTGGCTGCATTTGATTGCCTACCGAGCCAGAGTGGGCGGGTGGGGTGCCGGCGCGGTTTGGCTGCAGCGACACCGGCTTACATAGAGCGGAGTCCGGCGTGTCCTTGGGCGTAGAAGTCAGACGGTGTGGGACGGCTGGACTCGTAGTCACCGCCGTGGGCGCAGCGTAAGCGGAGCGACAGGCTAGGCAGGTGCGGGCGGCGTCAGGCGAGGCCTGCGGGCGATCAGGCTCTGACCTCCAAGTGGCGGTGTCTGAGTCTGGTGCCACAACGCGGCCTGGCGGGACCGTTAGGGGGGAAAGGTGTGATGAGGGACGGGGCCGGGCGGTTCTGCCGCCTGCCTGGACGGCGGCTCGCGAGGATCCCGGAGGCGCGGCCTCAGCTGGCAGCGGAAGGTCACGGCCGGGCCTAGCGCCTCGCGGGGCGCCGCATCCTGGGGGGCCCGGGGAGGTGCGTGGGGCCTCGCTGTGGGCGAAGCTGCTGGGCCGGCCCGCGTCCCATCGTGAGGTGACCGCTCCGCGCGCGTCTCTCGCCTCAAGGTCATCCCGGGCTGGGCCAGCAGTTGGGCGCTGTGCGGTGGTGCCGCTTTCGGCGCTTCCGAGGCGGCGTGCTGCCCTGCGGGAGTGGGAACGGGAGCGGTTCTGTCCTTTACGCGAGGCTGTTGGTGACTGGGATGCCCCGCGGTTGTTGATGCTCAAGCTATACCTAGAACTTGTGCTCAATTTGCACTTCAAAAGTCACTGCTGTGCTTCTTAAATGCTCTGGGGCATACTGGAGCTGAGACATGGTTTTGTTGTTTTTTTTTTTTTTTTTTCCTATTCTTCAGGCATAAAGTCTATGATCCTAGTACCTTTTACATAGTCTAATGGTTCTATGCAAATCTTCAGAGCTGTAACTCGTGGCTGGAAGGCATTCAGGAGTGTTACCAGATTGATGGACTGTAGCTGCAGATTTGTAAACCAATGTGAACCTTTTTAATGTTTCTGATGAGTAGTTGACCTTGATATTGTGATTTTAACCTCTGTATGTGTTCCTGGTCTAGTACTGACAATGGGAGATATTGAGAAGGGCAAGAAGATTTTTGTCCAGAAATGTTCCCAGTGCCATACAGTTGAAAAAGGAGGCAAGCACAAGACTGGACCCAATCTCCATGGCCTGTTTGGACGCAAAACAGGACAAGCTCAGGGCTTCTCTTACACAGATGCTAATAAGAACAAAGGTAAATGTAAAACAGCTCCCCTGAGCTACTGGTGGTTTTTGATGATAGTCAGAAGTACTGAAACCTGCAGAAAGCAAAATAAAGTGAACGACCAGGAAAAAAAATGTGTTCATTTCACTTTCAAGTCACTTGTTTTTTCTTGTTTTTTCATTTTTTTGCCAGGTATCACTTGGGGTGAGGATACTCTGATGGAGTATTTGGAAAATCCAAAGAAGTACATCCCAGGAACAAAGATGATTTTCGCGGGTATCAAGAAGAAGTCTGAGAGAGTAGACTTAATAGCATATCTCAAAGATGCCACTTCAAAATAAAAGTTATCTGCTGCCTTATTTATTTCACAAAGGAGATGGCAATGGAAATGTCTGTGACAAGATTGGTTTTTAAACTTTCTATTTTTATGTATACCATGTCTAACCTTAAAATCAGTTTTGCCCATCACATAATGTCACTCATGGTGGGTTACTGATGAACACACTTGGCAGCCGTTAACTTATGGAAGCTATGTAACTGGGTTGATTTAAATGAGTATAATGTTCAGTTGTCCTTAATCATGAAATTAAAAAAAAAAAAAAAATTCCTGCCTCTTCATTGTTTAAAACAACAACAAAAAAAAAGTATCTAAGAAGTAATTGTCAAAAGTGTAATAGCTTTGATAACCCAGCTCTTCAAGGTTTAAAAAAAAAAAAAAAAAAAAAAAAAAAAAAAAAAGCAGAGTGGGTCTTGGCATCTTCCACCATAAGTCTTCTGTAAAGATTTAAAAGTAAACAAAGACTTAAAAATATTTTTCTGAACTGATCAGTTGTAGGTGTTGTGGTGCATATTAATCTATCTAAAGCTTGGGGTAAGAATGCATCTCAAGTGCTACTTGTAAAATGACACTTGTGCCCAGATCCTTCAGTCTAGGAGAAACATGTTACTTGATTTATCTGGACTTTCACAGTTGCATGCACCAGTAGAATAGAGTTCTCCAGTGTCATTTTTACATCTTTTTGAATGTTATTGAAACTCTGTGTTCAGTAGATCTCCAGAGAAGAAATATTTGTATTATAGTGAATGAAAGAAGAAACGTTTCTTCTGGAAAGGTAACTACAAAAGGCTGAGCTGAGAGTTGATAAATCTTATTTCAGCAGTAGCATTAACCTAAAATCTACTGTTACACGCAACTGCTGATTGAGACGCACAGCAATAAATGCACTGGTAGGCTATTAGGAAATGGTCTTCTGTGCCTGACTGTGTCATCAACAGTGTTAAGTAGTATGTTAGTGTTTTAATTGCTTTTTCTTTTTTTCAGACTAAGCAAATTGTTCAGATGAATGTATTTACTGTGTATCAACAGTAAGGCACAACTAAGAGCGATCAATCTTGTAAATTAAAAGAATTCAAAGTCTTATTTGCTGTATGTGTCTGAAACAGAAATGGTGGGGTCGTACAGGCTTTATGTCACTAAAGGACAAGCAAAAGCTCAGCTTGAAAAAAGTAAACACTAATAGTGTGGTGGGAATGCTGGTGTGAAAAGTACTTGGAAATGTGGCACAGTTAGAAAGTATTTTGAACTAGAACCAGCAAAGCTAGGCTCTTCTTCCAGTGTTGCCTTTGCTGTGCTTCTTTAATTGGATAAAACTGGAAACTCAAAATATCTTGAAGCTGTGCTGTAAAGTTGGTGGAATTCTCAAGTTATGTCAGAACAGAATGTTTAGCAACTCAGTTGGAAGGAGCTGTTGTTCACAATAAGTGGAAGAAAGACCGCTGAGAAATCTGGATGGCTGCTTTGTGATGTTTTGTGATTTTTTTTTTTCTTAATTTTTTTTCAAACTGAATGTGCAAGTAGTGTTTCATGCAAATAGGAAGGAAGACTTGATATTAAGCATGTTGAACAAACAAAAAACCAACAGAACTTCCGATATACCTTCAAGCTGCAGCTGTTAGACACTGCACAATCTTTGGAAGTGATGTTTTTATTGCACCTCTATGGCTATGCAGAACTTGTTGGTTTTTCATTGTCAGAACCCTGATAGAACAGCCCTAGATGCAGAACATAACCTTACCCAGCTCTACAGTCTTTTTAAGATGGATTATAAAAGAGTACTGTGGAACTGTTCCATTGGCACCTTTATGAAACTGCAACACTTAAATTTTATCAAGCTGTTGTTCTTTTCTGCTAAGGGTGAAGAAGAAACATATTCTGAGGAGGATTTTGCAGTTAGACGGCATTTAAGTCTGCACAAATGAGATTATGTCCCATCAGAAAAAAACTCCAGGAAAAGGCAGAATGATCCTTTCTCCTAAGGTAGTAGTACACTTAGTTGCTTTTATCCGTATCTTACAGCCTTTTTACAGGAGTGAAGTTCATGCTAATGCATACTGTTGGAAGGGGAGAAAACTGAACTTTTTCTATCTAGATTGGTGATACATCCTTATTTATATTTTGGAGAAAAGACCTCACTGTTAAAATGTCATTTTTTTGTGCATACAGTGCTGGATAGCAACAGTTCACGAGATTTGTTGCAGTAAATAGTTAGCTTCCATTCTACTTGACACCACTGGGCAAATGTGCTACCACAGCATTGCTGCAAGTGGCTCAGCAAGGTAGGAATACTGAAGTGGAAAAATGTAAAACTGTCACTTATTGAGGCTGGTATGAATGCAAGTACCTGGGTGGTACTTTTTGGTTGGTTTCTTGGTTGGGTTTTTGTTTTGTTTTTGGGAGGGGGTGGGAGTAGGGAAGGAATTGACTGTATAGTCAGTATTTTGTTCTTTGGTTTCAAGTTTTACTGAACAGAAAGCTTATGTTTTATGAAGCAGCAAGTGCAATGTTTTCAGTCTAAAAGCATATGTGGAATTTCAGTAAATTATAGTTACGAATTAAGGAATCAAGGCACCAAACATTGCACAATCCCATAAAGATGGGATTTTAATGGGACTATGCCATCAAATGTACACCTTTTCAAAGTATTACTTTTCAAAACCAGAATGAAACAGGAGAATTTTGAAATCATGGAAGTTATTAGTTATGCATCCTGGTAAATTTAATGATACAGAAGCTGCATCTTAGAGTGAGATTCATGTGATCTCACTGCAAACAGCTGCATTTGGGGAATCTGCATTTGTAGCAACTCACACCATTGTAGATAGACACTTTGGCTGGAGGTTTTTTTTTATTTTTGTTATAAAATATAGTATCAGTTGTCCAAAACAAATGTGATATGTTAGGCTTCTCTTATGGGGAGGCAAGGAGATTGAACTTGTAAAGGAATTATCAGATATTCTAGTCTTATCATATATATTAAAGGTCATTAAAGTGCACGCATTTACTTCAATTAAGCTGGGTCATTTGCCTTTAAAATGCATTCAGAAAACTCTTCCAGGACCTAAACCAACCAAATTCTTTATGTTGCTGCATATAGGATGAGTAGAACAGTTTAAAACTGATACCCTGAAAACCAGGTTATTCTGAGAGGAGAGCAGCCCAGTGCTAGCAAGAGAACCTGTATGCAGTCTTGTCCTTTTCCAGCAGTCACGTCTGAATTGGGACTGAGATGGCTACATCCATCTGCTCGTGATTCACTGCTTGCGTGTAAGTACTTGCATGGATTATTTTTCCCACAATTATTTTGCTCTGAAACAGAGAAAATATAATGGTTGCCTTTCAAATAATTAGTTTCTGATTAGAGGTTTCACCAGAGGTGAGAGACTTGGATTACACGTTTGTATTGGTGACAGGATGCCAACTGACATCCCTGAATTCCTAGAATACTGTTTTAAACATCAAGGTGAACACGCGCTACAACAAAAATGTTCTCTGCTTCTTTTGATGCTGTCTTTATGCAAAAGCAGAACTGGAAAAAAAAAACAAGTAATGGGACCTACCTGTAGCACAGTGTTCAAAACACATACCTTGGAGCAGCGAAGAAGTTATGTGCTTTCCAGGTTGTTTATGCATTTAATTTTAAACATGTATAAAAATAAACTTGGCAGTGGAGGTCAGAAATCAATACTCAAGGCATTCTTTATCTCATTAACAGTTTTCCCTGCAGCTTTCTGCTGTGGGCCAGTGTTTGTTTGATGAGGCAGTGTGAACCCCTGCTCTCTTACCATCAGAATCACCCACTTTCTCGATGTGTTTTCTTCCTCCTGGTCATCCAGGTCTTGAAACATACTTTTGTATGTTAGACTGTGCTGCCCTCAAGTCGCCATACTGCCAGTGGGTCATAAGCACCCAAAAGCTGTTGAACAGAAGAATGTTCTCATCTTTATGGTACCCTGTTGCATTGCCTCCTACGGTACTGACCTAAAACCAGGCCAGGACCAAATGACTGCACGCACACACCAATATGATGAACAGCAAAATGGCGTTTATTACACGTGAACTCTAGTTTATATAACCTATGTGCTTCGTCTACGCCCCTAAGGGCACGTGCCACACATCAATCATGGAGCAGGGAGAGGGCCTATCGCGTCACATCCCGTGGGGGGGTCTCGCAGATGCTGACAGCAGTACCCTACAGAAATTTACCACTTGTGTCCTCGGTCAGCTGTGACTGATGACAATTTCTTTTAATGTCTGATGGTTTTTAGTTGGTCTTCCATTGACTTTTGCTGATCTTCTCTAACTCTCAGTTTTCATTAGGGCTAACAAGCAGGTAGAGTTTTACATGGCTTTTAGATGTCAGGTCTTATTTAAGGTGAGCTGCAAAATGAGAGCTGAGCAATAATTTGGGACCACTTTACCTGATACATAGTGCTTCCAGACAAATAAGAAGAATGCACTACATATGGTAAATTTAAAAAATATCATTGGTGTCACCTCAACATTGCAGCCATGTGCTGACGCTGACTGGAACCAGCCTTTCCCTGACAGCTTTTCTTGTGTTTTTCATTCTACTGCTGATTTGCTGCTCAGAAAGCAGAAGGAAATGGAAATCAGACTTTTCCATGCTGTAACATGTTCCTTATGGGACTCTGACATTTTAATTCCAATTATGTTGTCAGCTTACCTTCTATTGATATTAAGCCTGAAGATTTTGCCAGTGCTATTTTTAAAGGAAAGGTACCACATTTTCAGTTCTACAGACTTTTGCCATAGTCACTAATGTTGAATTCTGTTTCTCGTTTAGAAGTATTCATTAGTTAGTTTACCTACTAGGTCTTTTCTTATTTCATGTTAATTCTATAATTTATTCTTATATATTATATATAATATATAGAAGATATATTATCTTCTGTTTTGGCTTAACTGCAGGTACTTCAGTGCTCAAATGAACTCTCTAATTTCAATGTCTCTTAATTCTGTAGTGGACTTTTTTCCAGTTTCTGAAAAATCATTTAACTTGGAAATGCTAATTTAATTGTCTTTTTCATCATTTAAAATATGATTTTTTTTTTAATTCATTGGAGGGTTTGCTTTTTAACAACCCTTCACGCAATTGCATTTTAGTTGATTACTCTGTGTATATCACTCTTTTTGATCCAGGTGTTCTTATGTATTGAAGAGTGATTGCATCCTTCATTGGGATACCTGGAAATAGCCTTTTCTTGTAAGCTTTTGGAACTTGTTTCCAAAAAGCAATCTCATTAGGTGCTGACATCTGTAACTAACTGATCACTTTGTTGTTTACACCAAATGAACAGAAGAGGGAGCCAATGTACTAAAAAGCAGAAGAAATTAGTAACTTGAAAGCTATTAGAAAGCTATTAGAAACTTGAAAGCTATTAAAAAGCAGAAAGAAATTAGGTACTTGAAAGCTATTTTGAACGAGCCTTCGACCATTTGAAAGGCAACATTCATTTGTACAAAAAGCACTTTTACTGGAAGTGCTCAGCAAAAAGTGCTGGAGATTATTAGTACAGCTGAATGCATGGAAATGTCTTCTGAATTCTTAAGCCTGATACGTGTTTCATATTTCATCAGGCTAACTCAAGTTCGAGGTAGCTTTTATTAAATTTCAACGTATTCATATTGTGAAAGATTCTTTCAGTTAGAAGGGATAATGTTACTTTCTGACTGTTAAGAGATTCTTAATCAAAAGTGGGGACCTCCAATGCATACTTTGGCTTTGTTCCTGCTGTGGAGCTCCCCCCGATGTTGTCTTTAAAGAATCATGCCTGAAACGGATATACAGATTTTAGTAGTTTCTTCACTAGCATTTAGGTAGGAACACATCAATCTTTGTTAAAAATAAGCTTTGTCCTGTTTTTAATACATAAATAATGTTTGATGATAGGCTCCATCTGCTCAGAAAACCATGAGATATCATATAATGTGAGTATATACTAGCATTGTTGCAATTTAAGGTCCTAGGGAAACAGACACTTAAAATCTTGAGTGTGAACCTTAATTAGCTAGGATACGTAGCTGGGTGGTCAACCATCTGAGTTGCTTTTCTGGCACAT